CTGGCTACACTAGCAAGCTCCAGGTCTACCTGTAACCCTGACCAGTACTAGGGTTTTAGGTGTGCATCAGCATGCCTGGATCTTAGGTGCTGAGGATCCTAATTCAGGAATGGAACTAGGGTTCTCTGCAAGAGTACCAAGTGCTCTTAACTGCTGAGCCATCTGCTCAGCCTGTAAAATGGTTCTGCCTGGTAAAATAATTTTGACACGTGAGAAAATCCAATATTTATTGAGTACATCTTTAGTAACAGCAATACAGTTTCTCAAGAAAAACCTGAGCTGAACCCCTCCAAAACAGAATAAGGCATCTTCCAATACTGGCAAGCTAGACCCCACATATCTATAATTTCATATTCCCCTTTAAAAGAATTTTCAAGATACAAAAGCAACTGAAAGATATTCACATTATTATAAAACCAAAATAGTTTAAGGTAAAAGCAGTTTCAAGGCAGTAATGTCTACACAGCACAGTTCATCACAATGCTGTCTATGCAGCACGGTTCATCACGATGCCTTCCTGTAGTTTCAGACAACTCTACTCAGCACACTAATAGACTCATGCAAAACGCCTGGCAGAATAAACGCTTGCAAATGATTCCAGATTCTGAATTCCAGCGCACAAACCTGATCCAGTGCTCATTGACACCTCTGATACAAATATGGATGTCAATGGTAATTCATGAGATACAAAGGCAAGTTCAACTCAACTCTGAATGGACAACCGTCTACAGCAATGCCACGATCTATGGATTATTTTGAAACATTTCAGTATTCCCTGAAGATTTTATACAAAAGTTGAATCTTTTTTTTTTTTAAATCCACTTGTAACAGTTCAAATGGAACTATCTCTACGGAATTATCACAGTGAAACAACTGAGTTTTTAAATAGCATGTAGTTACCACATTCTCTTAAATGAACTTTTAGGAGCTGTCATGGTGTGCTATATGAGTGAATATGCTCTCACAGCTCAACTGCATACATAATCTACATGGGTCAAAGGCTCCAATCAGTTCTCAAGTTTGGAAGTAAATATCTGGTATTCACAGTATTATTGAGAGAAATTCCCTACAAAGCTCCTGATTGCTTGAAACAACAATTTATAGAAAAGTCTAAGGAAATCCCAGTAGATACTTACAATTATTAGTTGGGATGAGGTGACAAGTTTTCAAAAGTAAACCGTCACTGATATGTAACCAACTGTAGATTGCCCAGGCCAATATGCTATTATATGTTTTCTCATAATTCTCTAATTACTATATATTTGAGTAACATACACTTTTAGCGCTTTTTTTTTTTTTTTTTTGGCTTTTTGCGATAAGATCTCAACAAAGGCCATACTGGCCTTGAATGTACCTTAGTTTCCCAAGTGTTGGGTAACAGGCCATGTGCTAGCATGCCCAGTTTCAATCTTTATAACAGCTTTTAGACAACTGTCTTAAATCTATATAACTTAGCTTTTTTAAATCTAGTTTTATCTTCAATGAATTAAAAAAACAACAAACATCAGAACAAGTTAGACAGGCTTTAGAGGACAAGAAGGGCTGCTTTGGCAATGTAGAAAAAGATGACTACTGCGATACTAGTCATCTTAGTCTACCTCCATTAAATATTAAAATGTAGTAAGGCAATTATTACTTAAGACGCTTGAAATTACACCTAATAAATGGATAACTGGCCCCACACATGACATATTGCACACTTTATTTTTCTTCTCTATATATTCCAAGAAACCAAAAACATTGTTTGAAAAGGCAACTTAACCATCTTTCTAGAAGTTTGTACTATGTGTTACTATGTAAGCAACTGAAAAGGAGAATGAGTATTTATTTTTAGGTTTTTTAGATTATTTTATGTGTTTTTTGCCTGTGTGTATGCTTACGCACCACATGTGTATCTGGTGTCCACAGGTCAGAAGAGGGTGCTGGATGCTTTGGAATTGGAGTTACAGATAGCTGTGGACCACCACATGGGTGCTGGGAACAAGTGCTCGTAATCACAGAGCCCATTCTCTGTCCTGACAATGAATATTCTTTAAGGTTTTGCTCTTGTTTCTACCATCTTCTGTCCTCTTGAATCCACTTAAAACAGTCCAATTGAAAGTATCCCCACTGAGGATTAAACAGACTGACCACTGTTCCAGCCACCACTCAAGGCAGGGTAGTAATTCCCCTACTGGCCTCCTATTTCTAGTGCTCGAGAAACGACTCCACCAGATTTAGACACAATGAAGCAGTTCTCTTCACACAGCCTTCCCTTGGAGATGCTGAAGGACACTGAAACAGAAAGTGGGACCCAGGGAGAGAACAAAGTATGTTGGACAACTACTACTAAAAAACCAGTGAATAAAGTGACCAAGAAACATGTCTGGTATCAATAAACAAGGTTGGCTCTCCTGTCCCCACGCAGAAGGCACCAGTCCTGGCTGTGTAGATATAAGGCAAGCATTGACCTAGGCAGGGAGACCCCATGTTACCACACCGTTTCCTCCATTTCTACTTCCCCACTGTCATTCCGTTCCATCTTTCTTCTTACTCAGCCTTTCCTCATTCCTGTACCCCTCCTTCTTTCCTTTCTTTTTTCCTTCACTGTTCATTTGCATCATCCTTCTCTTCTCTACTTTCTCTTCCTTAAAGTACGATCCTTCCACATACCATCAGCAAATCTACACTGGAGGACAAGTCAAAAGTTACTCAGCCTCAGAAGTTGGCCCTCGGCAAACCAGCTTCCATCAACACTGGTGTGGCTGCAGAGCTACAGAAGTTCCTGCAGTCAACCCTGCCAAGTCTCCCTCCTTAGGCCCTATGTACAATCTGTGTGCCCCTCAAGCCTAAGAAGAAGGGAATCCAGGTCCAGCCCCCAACCTGTACTTGTCATCACACTGATATTTGACAGGAGGCAGGTAAAAGCCAGGAGTAGGAAGTGTCCAAGACAAGCAACAGCATAGCTCATGAGCTCTTCTTCATAAGGGAAAATGGCATTTATTAAAATATATTTTCTAGCTGATTTTCAAATTCTTTTTATACAAAAGAACTTTGAATGCATTTTAAGGTCCTTCTATACCACCTCAACCAATCATGCTAAAGCTCAGAGTCTCCAGCTACTGAAAAAATAAAACCTTAAGGAACTTACTCATATAAATTCCTATCTTGTCAATAATTCCAACTGCTTCCTCTATCCAAAAATGGCACTTATAATTTAGCAATTGTACCAATAGCTGTGACCCCCAACTTCAACCTTAAAGATGGAAAGTAATTTCCAGTAGTTCCCAAACTATGTGATAACAGAACCTTCTGAGGAACTCATGAAAAACAGAATCAGCACGTCACAAGCACATTTAAGACAAGCAGGAAAATCTGTTTAAGGGTTGGCTATGAGATGAAACCAAAAGCCAGCTGTCCCTTTTGCTAGGTATAATGTAGTTACTGGAGTTACTTGTAACATTGAGACATTCGCAGCAAGGACATAAAATGATGCCTGAGACTTTAAGATAAGAAAAGGGAATGAAGGAAGTAAACACGGCAAGATACTGATAGGTAATAGAGTGAGTACCACTATATGAGACTCTCAATTCCTTCCATTTTTTATTATTTTTATTATCCCTAAGGAGGGAGTGCTGGGCCTTGAGCTGCTAAGCAAGCACTCTTTCTATTACTTTCATATAATTTTAATCTCTTCATTTAAAAAATTTACTTCTTTATCTTCATTTAAAAATCAGCTTCTTTGGATCTCTCTGAGTTTGAGACTAACCTGGTCCACAAGAGCTAGTTCCAAGACAGACTCCAAAGCCACAGAGAAACCCTGTCTCAAAAAACCAAAAAAAACAAACAAACAAACAAAAAAAACAAAAAACAAAAAACAAAAAAACCTCTTCAAATTAAAAAATTCTTGAAGACTCCTAGTTACAGTATACATAAGCTATTTGTTTTTAGCAAGCTCCCTCAGATTATCAGCCAAACTTCAAAGGATAGGTTCTCATTTTTCTATCTAACAAGCCAAACTTTAACACAGTTCACAGGTTCTTACTTCACAATGGCATTCTGCCAAGGAATTGTGGCTGCTGCTCTCAGTCTATCTGTTCTAGAGTACTAAGTTTGCTAGCAATCCCTGTTCTGGTCACAAAGGGACAAATACTTTCTAACTGTATTTTAAACCTTTTCTCAGAATGTCCCTAGCTGAACTGCGTAAGTTGGAACAACTGTAGTGATCACTTCTTTTGAACATTCCCTTGCAGAGGATACATGATCTTCATAAATGAAATGGTTCCTTCATAATTTCCCTTTCTCTGTGTAAGTACTGAAACACAAGAGAAAAGGTGATACCCGAGAGCACTGGGTAGGATGAGGCCTATGTCCCAGCACAGCACATGCTGCCCACTCAGGATCCACAGTTACATTAGGTGTCAAGACAGAAAGCACATGGAGTCATGTTTCTCATCCTCCAGATTTTAAAAAGGCAACTGTCTTCAACGATGTTCAGAACAGGAAATATACACATTATTCAAATCAAAACGATTTTTCTACAGCTAGATATAAAAATCCTCTTCCTCAGAACTGTCCATTACAGCTGTCTAATTTAAATAAAGTTCTGTATTTGCCTCTTCAAAAGGATCCTGAAATGCACTTTGAGGTAGAAGGAAGTCTACATGGACCACTTTTTAATCTCACAGGCTTATACATTTGGTCCGCTGCATTTTCCACCATCCTGTTACTGTTTCGATTAAGGTTCTCACACTTCATCATCAGCATAATATATTTTGCTTCCAGAATGCCCAGTAAAGCTGATTTTTCACTTAAGGTGATTTTAAAAATGTCCCCAAATATCTTAGAGCTTAGGTTTGGCAAGAGTTTAAAACATACAAGACACACACACACACACACATACACACACACACCCCTCCCCAAGTTTTCATTATTTCCCCTCTTTCTCATACAGGTAATTTTTAAATGTGCAGCTTTCTTAAAAGTCTACAAATAATTTTAAACATGATTGTCACAAGATATTATAGGAGATGAAATGTATGTGGGTACATAGATTGTCAATGGTTACATTGGTTATATCACATTTCTTAAGAAACAGAACTGTTCTGCTCCTGTAAACTTTTTTCTCACACTTTAAAGTGAGGTTAGTGCTGACATAAAATTATTGCTATACTCACAGCTTGAATGTCTCCACTGTGTGTGAGGTACATTTTCTTCATCCATCCCCCCCCACTGTTCTTACTTACTTGATTCAAGAGCCAACACAGCTCCCGAGGCCACACTGTTGAATGTTTTCACTAACACTGGAATGACACCAAGTAATGTCACAAAATATCAGAGATCAACATTGTCTTCTTATAGGAACCCAAGGGTTTAACTTATTCTTCATGGCGTGAATATACTGCTCTTTTAAATTCCGGAGACCATTACTCTGGAGACAGAAAGGCCTTCCTAAATCCGTCTCCACTACCATTTCTTCACATCTCTGATGCGCTACCACGTCATCACTTAGCTCAGCAGTCACGAAGAGTCACCTCTCCTTTGGTGGTGTGTCATAACGGCTTCTTATGCTTTTTGTCAACTGCTTGATAAATATTTTGTATGTTTTTCCACAGTATGTGTGAACTGTCTTCTGTAATTCCAGTTCTAAAGGTTTTAATAAGGAACGGACGGCATCATCTTCAAAAGAACACTAGAAAAGAAACAGGCAACAATACATACAAAAGTTTAATATTTTCCAAGTAACTTCTGCTATCGGTTACTTTTTCACATGAAGTACACACTCAAATATTTTCAGTGAATTAAACATAACTATTAAAGAAAGGAGATGTGAGTGATGGCAAATCTCTGACGACAGGGAAAACTTCATAAAGAGGCAATGGAAGGGCCCAAGCCAAGGGAAGAACACATTCAAGAGCAGAAAACACGCAGACAAACTGGGATAAAATGGCTAAACCTTGTTAAAGGCATCTGGGAGAAATTAATAAAAAGCTAGACTCACTTAAAGAATAGGGCCCAGGCTTTCCATGCACTCCATCCCATTCTTGAATGGCACTCTGTGACAGTGCTGATGCTGGCCTAGACGTGAACACGACAGCCACAGAGCAGGAAAAGGGAAATGTTTCACTTTCCAAAGAAACTCAGCACTTACTATAGTTTGGCTATGTTTCTCCAGAAGATCCACACGGCGGATTGGACCCTAGACCATGGTGATACTGGGTGGTAGTGGTAGCTTTGGGAGACCTTCCTTAGAAGGGGACACAGGACTGTAACCATTCCAGTCCCTTTCCTCCCTTCCTCTGCTCTGCTCCCATCATGCTGTAATGTTTTACCACAGGTAATGGGGCAGGATGACTATGAACTGAAATGTCTGAAACTGTGAGCAAAAACATCAAATCTCCCTACACATAAACTGACAAATCTCAGGCATTTCTTACTATAAGGGAAAGCTTGTTAGCACATTGCACAGAAGGACCCAAGGATAAACATACATGAGAACTGCTAAATACCACATACTTTCCACAGGTGCTCTTATTGTACATGAGTGTCTATGAAGCAAACTAGGAAACACATCAGTTAAATGCTGATGGTCCTAATAATCTAAAAGGTGCATTTCTGAGCAGTTTCTATCTATAATGTACAACATATAATCCTCTAAGTGACACACTTCAATACACTGTAGAAGTAGAAATAACTTAGTATGTGTGTGTATATGTGTGTATGTGTGTGTGTGTGTGTGTGTGTGTATATATATATATATATATATATATATATCTTTGATTTAGTGTTTTCAACTATTTTCCACTTAAAAGATAGATGGGTCTTGAAAATAGAGTATTTTACATGAAAGTCTGAGATTAGTGAAAACCAAAATCACAAAGAAATTTAACTTGAAATCTGAGAAAAAAATGAACCAAGATTATCCTGAGGGGTAATTTCACCAAGGGAAAGAAACAAAAGCCCCAAATCAAGCTGGGACTAAACTGGAAGCTACTTCCCTGCTGACTTAGCTTCAGCAGTGCTGGATGGTGCTATGCAGACCAATGCAGAGAAATGTTAACAACTACTGACATGCTAGGCAAGATGTGCCCACTAGGGCAATAGCGGCATGACTATGCTTTCTGAGAGGGTCTAAGGTTCATGCCATAGGAAAGAATCAACATCTAATACTGGAAAATAAAACCTCTCAGCAACTACAGCAGGAGAGGCCACAGGCTGTACAAGGAAAGCTACTATTGCCATTTTACTAAAGTGAGATGATGTGCCTCTCAAATTGCTTTCCTGGGTGTGGTGGCACACATCTTTAATCCCAGCACTCAGGAGGCAGAAGTAGATGGATCTCTGAGTTTGAGGCCAGCCTGGTCTACATGTAGACTGAGTTCCAGGATGTCCAAGGTACACAGAGAAGCCCTATCTCAAAAAAACAAAAAACAAAACAACAACAAAAAAAGCCAAAGCCACCGCACTGCATGCCATGGTCTGTAGAGTAAACAGCTGTGTCTCTTTCTTGGAGGCCTCTCATGTCCTTATCTAACTGCAGGCCTTGCTCTACACTGCTGACTGACTGATCCTTACCTTTCCTAGGTCTCCGGTCAAGTGTCACTTCTGAGAAGCCCTTTCCAGACAGTACCCAGAATACAAGTGTCTAGGAAGGTCTTGCTGTATGTTAGACCATCTGCTATGAAGAGGTATAAATAAGTTGTAAGCCTATGACAATCACAACTAGGCATTTGAGGCATTTTCAAAGAATGCAGTATACCTTAAAAGTATGGAAAACTACTAAAACACAGCAAATCCTGGGTACAAGGTACGTGAAAGGTACAAGGCTTCTGTGGGAATAGTTGTGCTGGGGTGAGGTAAGCGAGAAAAGGAGAAGCACAGGCAGCATGGAAGTCAAGCAAAGGCTGACTCAGAGAACACCTTACAGAGCATCAGGATGCTCAGTCCTCATTGTGATTTAGCTCTTAGTTTTAAACATTATTTCTCTTTGGGTAGCCACCGTTTAACAGGTAGGCACAACTGTAAGGGCTGCCTACAGCAGGCACAGCCTGTATCCACAGTTCAGAGATGCCTCATATCCTTAGTCATGCTGTTTGCAGCAGACCCTGATTAGACTTCTCCCTGAAAGTTATGTAAATACCCTTCTGATTTTATAGTTATGCCCTTGCTGAATTATAGACAAGAAAAGATAAAACGCAAACAGCACCATAAAAGACCAATTAACTTCATTAAGCCAAAAAAGGACAAATATAAGCTGTAGTTAATAAAGACCTGACACAAACATAACACTGATTAATTCAGTAGTTGAAATCATTTGATATATAGAACCTATTTCTAAAATTACATGTAATTATCAACTTTAAACTATTACTAAAAATGTAAATGGTATATAAGTCAAAAGGAAAAAAAACAGAGCTAGGGAAATTTAATTCTCTAATAAAAGATTTTTTAAAACTGTCCAAAGGAAACAAAATTGCCTTTTTATAGGTACTCAAAAGTCCCAGAACCCCAAAAGTACCTTTCTTCATTTTTATCAGTTTCTGAGAATCCATAGTAAGGCATTATTAAAATGATACTGATCTCTGAAAGCACATAAGACCTGCTACATTAAAGTGAAAATTTACACTATGCATACAACCCTATTTTCATAAACTGGATTACTAACTAAGTATTCAAGTTTATTGAACAGATTTGAAAAAAAATCGACAAACACACGGCAAGTGCAGCCTACGGTGCCAGGAGCATGTGTCTACAACTGCACTTGAGGAACACTGGTGTGCTGAACACGTTTCAACTCACATCAACAAGGCACACAGCCACTCTCACCCCTACTAATGCCTATTACTCAGTCAATGCCTAGCCTCTCCAGACATAAAGACACAGCCCAGGCTAGCCCACTCATCTGACAAACTCCCCCTCATTTCTCATGGCCCACTTCAAATAACCTTTCCAGGCAAGACTGCTAGCCCTTCTTAGTCCAAGTGCACTCTGTCACAAGTAATTAGTTCAGTGTTAATATTTCTGCTGCTATCAATGAAGATTTAAACCCAACCAAAACTCAAGTCACTAGTAAATAATGAGAACCCAGTAAACAGGTAGCAAGTGGTGGCACTTTCCAAGGATAGCCAAGATAGAAATTCATTTGTACCCCACGCCTCTCCTGCACCCCCATTCCAGTCTTCTAGAGAACCATGCCTAATACAGAAGCATAAATGTACCTAACATCCAGGGCCCATTAAAGGGAACAAAGTACCTGTGACAGACAGCTACCTGCAGGGTTACCCAAGCAAAGGATTAAATAAACCTGGACTATTCTGTTGAAGCAGAAAGTAAAAAAGATAGTCTAAAAAATGATGAGAACATGTCAAAGTGTACAAGAAGTAGCCAAAGAGCCCCCGATGGCCAAATCAGCATCAACACAACTGGGAAGAAATATAAATCACAGGAGGGATAAGAACCCCCCCTCCAATTGTCCATAGTGATTATACATACAATGCTGGGTTCCAGATGTGAACTGTGGACACAGCATCCCAACTGTGAGAGGAGAGGAGGCTAAGCTAGTGGGAAACTTTAAGATTAAGAAACACATGAAAAATAGACCTGAGTTAGTATCTGTATAATGCTTAATAAAGAAATACCCTTAGTCTTACTTAAAAAAAAAAAATTGCAGGTTGAAGGGGGGGTCAAGAGGATATTACATACAATGCACATTAAAAAATGTACAGAGAGAGAACCCATGCTAAACCACAAAGCCAAATTTTGGGAGCTGATGACTTTATAGTAAGAAGATAAAAAAAATTCTTCACACTGTATTTGCAATCTTCATAATATTGTAAATTTTAAGTGACAACTTTGGGGGAGCAAACCTTACATTTCTTAGTGCTTCATACATAGCTCTAAATGCTGGCTGCTTGTCATCATGGTAAACACCTCTGTTTCCATGAAGAATGAAGACTCCTTCCTCTTCTGCTTCTCGGCAGTTGCTTCCATAGATACAGTGATCTGGTCGATAATTCCATTGGCACGGAAAAACAAACAGGCTTTCTACAATGAAGAAACGCCCAACAATAGGAAAGAGATAAAGCACAAACTATCTTACAGAACAAACACATGCAAACATTTTAGCTTTAAAAATTATACTTGATATTTAGATTTCTCCCAACCAAATAATATTCAAGCCTCAAAAGAAAATATTGACAACCCTTAATATAAGCAAAAATCAAACAAATGTGTTTCCTGTGGTCCCAAAGATTGAACTGAGGGCACTGTATGTACTAAGCAAGCACTCTCCTAGTGAGCCAGCCAGACCACTATCTCTTGCTTTCTGATTTTTAACCCATGATTGTTTTTACAGACATAAAGAATTAAAGGAATTTAGATGATTACCTGGATTATGGAAAAACATGATATTTAACAGATCTTGATCACCCCATGTGATGTTCAGTTTGTATTTTTTAAGCAGTGGCATAAGTATGTCTCCCCATTGCAGCCGCGCAGTTGTCATATCATTCTGTTGATAAAACATTGAAGAGTTTTAGCATTCAGAGTTAAGTGGCAGCATGACAGCTCCCCTTTGTTCACTTCAAAACCATTACAAAGCCACAAAGAGAAAGAAAAACCCCAATTTCTACAAAACCATGCGCCATTTATTATCCTAAATGTGAGGAGGGCTGCCAGTATGAGAAGAGAAGGCAGCACAGAAGGTAAAAACAGCAGTGATGAAAATAAGACAAGCAAAAGACAGCAAGGAAAGGCAAGGGGGATGACAGTTCAGCCACATCTTCATTTTAAAGTACGGATTATAAAAAGTGTTTGTTTTTTGGGGATTTTTTTTTTTTTTTTTTTTGCAGGGAACAAGGTTTTGCTATGTAGTCCTGGGACTATCCTCAAACTCATGATCTTCCTGCCTCTGCCTCTGGAATGCTAAGATTACAAATTGCACCATCACACCCACCTTTGAAAGTTCATAGTTTGGTAAGGCAAGGTTGCTGAGGACATCACTGATGCCCTGTCTGGGGTAAATAGACATCTGTTCATACTTCCCAAGGAAAAAATTACATAGCAACCCAACCTTTCACTGAGGCATTCACTGAGGGTCTTGTAATATATCCCCCTCAGATAGTGGGGGATACTATACCACAAGTACACAAAATTCATTACATTTCATTCCTTTGCTCTTTATTTCCCACCCACTCCAATCTATTTTTGTCAAGCTTGTTGCTTTTTTTCTTTTTTGAACACATACTCTTATGTAATCCAGGCTGGCCTCACACTTGTGGCCTAAAACCTTTTCCTTCTCTCTGCCTCCCAAATGCTGGGGAAAGCACAGTTTTTAGTGTTAAAACTTTGCTTGTATTGTATTTATTAATTTCCAATAACTTCTAATTATAAAAGAAATCATGGTCCTGGTACAAAAACAAAACCATACAGGTGCCAGACAGTGTACTGAATATTTCTTATCACATTCCATCAGGTTCAACCCCAACTCTAAAACAAACACATAGATACTAAACCTGAGTCCATTTTAAGGACACAGTCTTCATCACAAAATGTACATATGTCATATATAAAACTACATGCACAATTAAAGCAGATTTCACAACAGGAAACAAAAATGACCACAAATTATAATATTTTCAAGGAGCTGAGGAAATAGCTCGGCATATGAGAGCACTTGCTGCTCAAGGACAAGAACCTTAGTTCAGATCCTCAGGATCAGTGTAAAAAGGCAACACCCACAATGCTGTAACAGGGGCAAGAAACAGGAAGATCACTTAGGTTTGCCGGCCACCACCCTAGCCAAAGATCAGTGAGAACCTAACTCAAGGGACAGGTGAGAGTGATAGAGCAAGATGCCTGCTGTCCCACTAAGCATAAGAGCCTTTATCTTCAGAGTAGCTGTGATCACTTGCAATAGACTGTCACCATCAGCCTCGTCACTGTCGATGTCCATCATACAACAGAAGGCAGGGGCAGTCATCAGCCCTTTAGCTGAGATTTCTTCTGCTCACTCCCCTATTTCTGAGCCATTTTATGTAATTGTCTTAACTGCACCCAACCTTGTGGTCTTGGGAGGTCCTAGCATACATAGGAAGTGGAAGTTTCATTAAAGGGGGTTCCCACATACGTAGCTAGGAGGAAGTTGTCATCTATTCTGGGTGAGACTTTCTGGTAGTACAACTGTTAGGAGTCATTCACTCTCTGGTAAAAACAAACAAACAAGCTCTACAACTATGTTCTATAAGTAAGCCACATAAATTCTGGTTCCCCAAGTTTGATTTTGATGACATCATTGTGCTGTGATTTGTCATCAGAGTCATTTTAAGAAAGAGGTGGACATTTATCTCCCCAGAAAAAGTTCCCGATAAAACAAAAGATAAACCTTGCACTCATTCATTAGGCAGATGAAAAAAAAAAAAAATCAAAACACCTTCCACAATATAACACATAGTACAGTACAGAGTACATATAAGAAAAGAACTCAGATCCTAATTTAAAATATTTTTTTTTCTAATACGCTCATCATTTTCTAAGAAAGGAAAGATCTGAGTGTGGTGGTGCACACCTGTAATCTCAGTACTTGGGAGGTCGAGGCAGGAGGATTATTGGAAATCTGAGGCCACCCCTTAAGCCACATAAAGCCATACAAAGACCCTGTCTCAAAAAAGAAAAAGGCAGGAGAGATGGCTCAGTCATTAATATAACCAAAAAGAGAAAGTACTGGGTAGATGGCTTAGTGGATAATATTTGCTTGTCACACAAGTATAAAGACCAGATTTTACATCCCCAGGAGGCAGGCAAAAGCCAGGCAGGCATGGCAGCTACCTGTAATACCAGCACTTGGGAGACACAGAGGACTGATGGGGCAAAGAAGTCTAGCCATAGACTTCTAATGAGCTCCCAGAAAGACATTCAACATCAATTTTATGTCTTTGCATAAATGTGCATGCATATATGCAAACATATAACATGTACATATATCACACATGCATACACATGTAAGACAAACAAATATTCAACAATGCAAATATCTATCATGAGGACACAAAACCAAGTATATATTAACAGCTTAACCAACACAGTATCACTGCTTACCAAGGAGGGAGAGATACAAAGAATAAAACAGTATTTTTACTGTCTTAATTTTTTAAATGTTACTATAATGTATCAGATTTAACTGCTCAATCATAATGGCAAGAACAGGGTGTCAGTCACACAAACAATTTAAACATGGCCTTTACTACAGACAGGTGGAAAAAACAAAAAAGAAAAAAATCTAAAATTTATGATCTGTGCCCAAAGTTACTGAACAGGGGGAACCAAACCAATACTTGCTACAGATATACAAAACAAAACAAAAAACTATGGAGAAAAATATACATGAAGAAATATATTTTAAAAATCAGTAAGTTCTAGAGAACCACCTGAGCAAGCTCATGTACAAAACTGAAGAACGATGGGATTTTATCTGTCAGCAGAACAGAACTATGTGAACACTCACAGTGAATGCAATCAATTCTACCCACTCAGTTACACATGGTCAATCCACTCCTCTCCTTCTTTGTTAAGCCATTAGTGCACACAACAAAAACATTTCATCAGGCTGGAGGGATGGTTCAGTAGATAAGAGCACTTGCTGTCATGCAGAGAACTCGAGTTCAATTCCCAGCAGCTTACAACTACCTACAACTCTAGCACAAGGGGATCTGAGAGCCTTCTGGCCTATACAAACATGGTGTACTCATAGTCAGGAACAAACGTAAGTAAAAATATAAATAAATCTCCTAAAAAAGGAAAAAATTGAAATTTTGTAAATTATTTAATCCCTCATATCCACATCTCTATCTGGCTTAAGACATACCAGAAAGAAAAAGGGAAAGAGAGACAGGATCTACTCAAGTGGTTGAGAGTTAACTTAAAGTAAATAAAAGATAAACTAAGAGCAGTGATGATCTTGAACTATATAGCCCAATTTTAAAAATCAAAGTGTTAAATTACTTCCACAGGTTTTGGGGGTTTTTTGTTTGTTTTTGCAATACTAAATCCTCTACAAGGATCAAATGCAGATAATCTTACAGCACCATCTTCTGGCATGACATTACCAAGCACAGGCTAACACTTGGAACAGCAATCATATTGTTATGCTGGCTCCACATAGGAAAGCTTTATGGTTCATGAAAAGTAAGTATTCAAAGCTTAAGTGTAAACTAAACAAAGTGTTCGTTGTTGAGCAAGAGCAGATGCCAGCTGTGATGGCCCGTTCTTGATGTCAACTTAACTACACCTGGAATTAACTAAAACTCAAGCAACTAGGCACATCTGTGAGGGAGTTTTCCTAATGAAATCATTTGAAGTGGGAAGACCTGCCTTTTAACAGGATCTTTTGTGTAGTAATATATTATTTATGATTTATTAAAGCTTGTCTGAGGATTCAGAAAGCAAAGTCTGTCACAAGCTATAGAACCCAGGCATACACCTTTAATCCAGCAGCCAGAAGCTAGGAAGTAGTGGCACACACCTTTAATCCTAGGACTCAGGATTAAGAAGTAGACAGATCTCTGTGAGTCTAAAACCACCCAGATCTACACAAGAGTGAATCAGTCTAAAAAAGAATTATAGCTTACACGTTTAATCCAACATTAGGGAAGAATACAAGACAGAATCAAGGTCTCAGAAAGGCATTTGTTCTCCAGCCACACAGAGGAGAGTCAGCAGTTTGAGACTTGGTGAAGAGCTCATTGGTGAATCAGCCCTTTCAGCCTGAGCTAGAGGGGAGAGCTAGTGGCTGGCTGCTTTGCTTTTCTGATATTCAGCTTTTAAGTTTGAACCCTAATATCAGTCTCTGGGTCATTTACTTTTTGTGTTACACTTTTCTTTTCTTTTCCTTGAGATAGGGTTTCTCTGTGTAGCTTTGGAGCCTATCCTGGCACTCGCTCTGGAGACCAGGCTGGCCTCAAACTCACAGAGATCTGCATGCCTCTGTCTCCCGAGTGTTGGGATTAAAGGCGTGTGCCACCAACACCCAGCCTCCTGTTATACTTTTGAGCTGGGAAGATCCACCTTTTATCTGGGCCACAGCTTCTTCTGTGGAAGGACATGAAAGAAGGAAGCTCTTTGCCTTTTGCCTGCTTGCCCTGACTCTTGATGGCAAGTCCATTCCTTCACTGGCATTATAGCCTACTTCTTTTTTTTTTTTTTTTTTTTGTTTTTTTTGACAGCGTTTCTCTGTGTAGCTTTGGAGCCTATCCTGGCACTTGCTCTGTAGTCCAGGTTGGCCTCAAACTCACAGAGATCTGCCTGCCTCTGCCTCCCAAGTGCTGGGATTAAAGATATGCACCACCACCACTGAGCTAACAATGTAAATTTTTATCTGGCAGAAGCCACAGAAATAGTGACTCCCAATACCTCTTAGTTTAATTTAATCCTAATTAGATACAACAGAATAAGCATTGGAGGGAAAACCTGTGTTTTCTCAGAAGTTCCTGTTTATAATTAGTTTCATCTAATATTAAAAATTTTGCCTACTAAGTGTCATGCTGTATACTGGACTTTATGGGCTTGTTTTTTGGATTTTGTTTTGTTTTGTTTTTAATTTATGCTATATGTATGTGCCCAAGTAAGTATGTGTTCTTTGTTGATGCAGTTACCTGTGGAGAACAAGCGAGGGCATAAGATCCCCTAGAACTAGAGTTAACAAGCAGTTGTAAGCCTCCAAATTCAGAGTGTTGGGAAGCAAAGCCAGGTCCTGTGCAAGAGGTCATCAGCAACTGTTTTAATAACCCCTCACAGAAAGGCCTAAAGCAGAGGCATATTATATTATCATGCCATCGTACAGATGAGGAAGACCCTGAGATAGTCAAAACTCATTCCAGGTACCTCAACTATGACGCCAAAGTTAGAGCCAGACTGACAGGCTGCAGAATCAATGCTGATAACCGAAACTCTGCCCCGAAAGTCACTTTAGATTCAAGTTCTCTATGCTGTACAACTATAAATTGATGACAGCTTCCTGCAATGACAGTCTAGAAGATGCCAGTCGCTAGTTGGTGCACTGCTATTTTACTTCATCATGAGAAATACCATCTGATGTGACCTACTTGAATTTGCCCCTAAAGAACATTATAAACACATTTTTATCCAATTACCCTAAATAGAAAAATTAAAATAGTTTAATAACTCGCCCTCCATCTCATATATATACATATATATGTATATATACATATATATTTCTATAATATATATTATATATTATCTATTATATGTTATATATATCTATATTATCATATAGATCTATATATATAATATATATATATATTGAGGGGTGAGATAGCACACCGCACAACTATGTAGCTCTGGCTAGCAAAGAGACCTGTCTCTGTCTCCTTAGCGCTAGGAATAAAGGTGTGCACCACCATATCTGGAGATACAACCCACACACACATACCATATTCTTGGTTTTTTTTTTTTTTGGGGGGGGGGTTCAAGACAGGGTTTTTCTGTGTAGCTCTAGCTGTCCTGGAACTCACTCTGTAGACCAGGCTGGCTTTGAACTCAGGGAGATTCGATCCCTTCTGCCTCCTGAGTGCTGGGATTAAAGTGTACCACCACTGCCTGGTGGCATATTCTTTTTTATTTTATGTGTTTGGCTTACAAGTATACACACACACACACACACACACACACACACACACACACACACACACACACACCCATGTGAGTATCCAGTACCCTTGGAGACCAGAAAAGGCATCAGATCCCCTGGAAATGGTGTTACAGTTGTGAGCTGCCTGCCACAGAATTTGAGTTCTCCGAGAGAGTAGTAGGTATACTTAACAACTGAACCATCTCTCCAGCCCCAAATCTATGTATTTTTTTAAAGATTTTCTCTGTGTCTGCAGAAGCCAGAAAAGGGACTCAGACACCCTGGAGCTGAGTAACAGGCAGTAGTGAGCTGCCAAATGTGGATGCTAAAAACTCATCACTGTCTAGTGTAAGAGTTCTTAATCTCTCCAGCCCTTCATTTAGTTTAGGTCTTAACAAAAACAAATGATTTCAGGAGAAAGGGAAACGGCAACCAACCACCCCCATCATCAAGTCACCTTAAAGTACTTCCTTCTCATCCGCGTCATGTTCATCAGCATCACTCCTGAGTTCACCCCGGTCTTCCCGTAGTACGGATGCCGAGCAAAACGATTATACCATCCTATTCGAGGCTCCTCATGTTCTGGGGCCATCGCAGCAATTTGTGTGGAATTAAATTTCTTTAGTAATGACCAAATATCATCAACAGGTCGTAAGAAAAGGATGTCAGTGTCAACATATAGCAGTGAATCAACTTCTTTCAGGATTAACTATGAGGAGAGATATTTAAATAATTAGTTTAAATACATCTACTTAATAATAGCGCAGTAACAGAAATTGTACCTAAGAAATAAGACAATTTACAATGCTTTTAAGGTAATTTTTTGAAATTTGACATTTAAAAAAAAAATTGTAACCAAAAAAAAACTTTGTAAATTTTTCCACAAATTTTTAGAAAAACTAGAAAACAAACCCTAATAAAAAAAACCTCAACACTTACAGTGAGAAAAAAAATATGAAAGGTCAGGAGAAAACCGATTTTCAAGATACAAAACGACTACCTTGAGGTAGATTCATACACTGAACCTCAACCAGGTAAATAACAGACACAAATAAAGCAACATAAATGAAGGTCTCCCAGACCCACGCCTTCTGCCTGAACACTGGACTGTATCACTGCAGTACCCACTGCACCATCCATCCCCTCAGTACCCACTGCACCATCGCCTCAGTACCCCCTGCATCATCGCCTCAGTACCCACTGCACCATCCATCGCCTCAGTACCCACTGCACCACCAATCCCCTCAGTACCCACTGCACCATCGCCTCAGTACCCACTGCACCACCAATCCCCTCAGTACCCACTGCACCATCGCCTCAGTACCCACTGCACCACCAATCCCCTCAGTACCCACTGCACCATCGCCTCAGTACCCACTGCACCACCAATCCCCTCAGTACCCACTGCACCATCGCCTCAGTACCCACTGCACCACCAATCCCCTCAGTACCCACTGCACCATCGCCTCAGTACCCACTGCATCCCCTCAGTACCCCCTGCACCATCCCCTCAGTACCCACTGCACCATCCATCCCCTCAGTACCCTCTGCACCATCATCTCAGTACCCACTGCACCATCATCACCTCAGTACCCCCTGCACCATCATCCCCTCAGTACCCCCTGCACCATCCCCTCAGTACCCCCTGCCCCATCCCCTCAGTACCCCCTGCCCCATCCCCTCAGTACCCCCTGCCCCATCCCCTCAGTACCCCCTGCCCCATCCCCTCAGTACCCCCTGCCCCATCCCCTCAGTACCCCCTGCCCCATCCCCTCAGTACCCCCTGCCCCATCCCCTCAGTACCCCCTGCCCCATCCCCTCAGTACCCCCTGCCCCATCCCCTCAGTACCCCCTGCCCCATCCCCTCAGTACCCCCTGCCCCATCCCCTCAGTACCCCCTGCCCCATCCCCTCAGTACCCCCTGCCCCATCCCCTCAGTACCCCCTGCCCCATCCCCTCAGTACCCCCTGCCCCATCCCCTCAGTACCCCCTGCCCCATCATCACCTCAGTACCCCCTGCACCATCGCCTCAGTACCCACTGCACCATCACCTCAGTACCCACTCTTAAGTGCAAAGACAAACTGATCCCAAGCTATCTGTTCCAGTCTATGCTCGTTTCTGCAAGCACCATCAACATATCAAAACCACACACTTAGGAAGAACAAGGATAGGAAGCACACTTTTATTTTAAAACTGAGATTGACTCATTGCACTTTTTAAAATTGTAAATTTTTCAAAGATAAGTTTTCATTTTTCCTTGTAAATTTTTAAAATATGACTCTTTCAAATTTAAATTTGTTGCCTATCCTGGTATAGCTACAAAACTCAATGATTAGGTTAACCTAGCAGGAATATCCAACCTTTTGACATTTGCAGCATGACATCAACCACAAAGTTCACACACTTTTACCAAAAGTAAAATAGTCTCATAATGTTCTATGCAAGTTTACAACTTGAAATGTCTGTATTCATAGCTAACCCCTATTCATATAGCTGGGCAGCTAGCTGGATGTGCCTCAACATTAGTTAAGACACAATGAGAACTACACTTGATCCTCATTCTGCTACTCTGTAAATTTGTTACCTTTCCTGAAACAGAATTGAGTCATTGCCTAGTAGCAGATAAGGAAAATACCTGATAGTGATGGCTGAGCCTGAATGGGGAAGGCCCCCTTCCCCCTCCAGTTAAAGGAGGTAAGCAAGGCTGTGTCTCCCCACTATCAGAAAGGGGTGGAAATTGGTTTTAGGAGTGTGGCTGGGTTTTGTTTTGTTTTTGAGTCTTGTTAGAGAGTCCTAGCTCACTCTGTGTGATGGCTAACCTTGTTGTCCACTTAACTGCATCTGGAATTAACTAAAACCCAAGCAGCTAGGCACACCTGTGAGAGAGTTTTCTTGATTGGATCATCTGAGGTTGGAAGACTCACTGTAAATCTAAGCCACATCTTCTGGTGGCAATCTACATAAAAGGACACAGAAGGAAGTTTTTGGTTTTTGCCTGCTTGTACTCACTCTTGTTGGCAAGTTCACCTATCCTGCTGTGGAGGCATTACTTTACTGGTATTGGAGCCTACTTCTTTGGGATTCTAATGTAGACTGAAGACCAGCTGAAAAACTACCCATACTCACATATTAAATAGCTGTGACACTGAAATAATTCATATTAAGCCAGACATGGTGGTGCACACCTTCAATTCCAGCACTCAGGAGGCAAGGGCAAGTAGATCCCTAAGTTCAAGACTAGCCAGGACTACATATTGAGTTCCAGAACAACCAGAACAAATATTAAGACCCTGCCTAACAGTAATAATAATAATAATAATATTCATATTAAAGGTTTAAATCTAAAACATCTTAGGTTTTTCCTCATTTGTGTGTTTTAACAGAAGGGAAAATTGAGAAAGATTTGAGGACCCAAATTTTTTAAGCATAACCTCAAAAACCTCTGGTGAAGTCAATCTATCAGATTCCTAATGTGAAAGTTGGCCTTGTGATCCAGCACACCGAAAGCTAAGGCAGGAGCATCACCTCCAGTTTGAGACCAGTCTAAGTTGTAGGAGACCATCTCAAAACAAACAAAACAAACAACTGGGCTGGAAAGATGGCACAATGGTTAAGACTGCTTCCTGTTCTCCCAGAGGGTCCGAGTTCAGTTCCCAGAATCCACATCTAGCAACTCACAACCACCTAGCAGAACATACACTTTTAACTTCAGCATTTGCACTACCATAAGCATCTTACTATTTATTTATTTTAAATGGAGCAATTTGTTTTGTTTGTTTACTAGTTTTTGAGACAGGGTTTCTCTGTAGCCCTGGCTGTCCAGGAACTCATTCAGTAGACCAGGCTGGCCTAGAACTTGGAGATGCACTGCCTCTGACTCCCAAGTGCTGGGATTAAAGGTGTGTGCCACTGCCACCCAGCTACTACATAGTAGTTTATTACCCACGGTCACCAAAGAAGACCTCTAGTAAGCAAATGGCTCCCACTGTCTCTGAGCTCTCCTGCCTAACAGCTGTAGAACTGATTCACCTATCACTTAGGAAAGGGTCACTAACTAAGCCTAAGACAGAAATGTCATCAGTGACTTCCCAAGCTGTGTGTGCAGCCGAGGCCTGCAGGTCATACTCCCTACTGAGACCTGACCAGCATTCCTTCCTGTGGTGAAAACAGTTCACAGCAACTATGTGTAAGAAATGCTGTTTCAACAGAAATTACTAAAAACCCTCTCTCTCTTTCTCAGTGTTGAGGATCAGCCCTACCACTGAGCTAAATCTGAAGCCCCAAACTTTTCACATTTTAAGTCTTTATTAAAGTCCTGACTTGTTCTATGGAAACTTTTTTCTCATGTTTGACACATATCTTTGTTTACTTAATGAAGTTTATATGTAATTATTCAGAAACTCTTCTGTAGTGCTTTGAATAGGAATGACCCCATAGGCTCATAGATTTAAATGCTTGGTTTCCAGGGAGTAGCACTATTAGGAGAGGTGTGGTCTTGTTGGAAGAAGTTGTCACTGGAGGTGGACTTTGAGTTTCAAATGCTCAAGCCAGAACCAGTGTCTCTCTTCCTGCTGAACTTCAATCCAGATGTAGAATTCTGAGCTTCCTCTCCAGCACCTTGTCTGCCTGCATTTTGCCATGCTTCCCACCATGATGACAATGAACTAAACCTCTGAACTGTATGCCAGTCTCAATTAAATGCTTTCCTTTATAAGAGCTGCCATGGTCATGGTGACTCCTCCCAACAATAGAAACCCTCACTAAGACATCATCTGTATAAAGTTAACTTTGAAATTTAAAATATAGAAAGGAAAGCAGCTCACCGGCAAGAACAGCCTCTGGGAAGCACATGGCTTAAAGAGTTTCTTCCACTCCACGGCACTGTCACTTGGGAAGGTGATGGAGTACAAAGTATAATTAAATCTTTGTAGAAATGACCAGCTGTCAAGCTAAGAATATAAAAAGAAATAAAGTTAAAAGCACAAACCAAAGTAGATTTGTCTTACTTTCAACCTTCTCTGTAACATTGTAAACCAAGAGCTAAAAACAAAAAGGCTAAAACTTAAAATCACATTTTACGTTACAAGGTTAAAAGATTCTTTTCCATTACTCTCTTTGTTTCCATTTCAAATCTAAAAATCTACTATCAAGATCTAAGGCACAGTGAATTTTTTTTTTTTTAAGTCAATGTTCAGGGTCACTACGATGGATCAGTCCATAAAGCACAGAGTGAGAATCTGAGTTCAGACCTCTAGTCCAGTGCCATGCAGGAAACAGGAGGGCAACCAGGGCTTGCTCAGTAGCCAGACAGTCTAAAAAAAAAAAGTGAATTCCAGGCCAATCAAAACTCCTATCTCAAAAAGTGGCTAAGCATGTATAGACTTGATTGCCCTTCATTTTACCCAAGTGAATTTTCTCAATCCTAAACAAATTAAATCAGAAAAATTAAACACTCAATGTATTATCATTGTATATATGATTAAACAATGTTTATATTAAGTATCAGACTAACACAACACCAGTTTGGGCCACTTATGTAAAGTTAAGTGTGTCCTAGTATTCCTAATAAGCTATTCTAATAAATACTTACACAGTGTAAATTTTTAAAAACCATTAGAGACCCAAACTACGTTTTTAAAAAATCTACAATGAGTACTCATCTTTAATGTCCTAAACTCCAAAACACTGACTTGGTCCAGACTCAGATAAATATAATCAATCTATCATTGCTGCTTCAACACCATAGCCTCCCAACAACAGGCTTAGGCTACTGTAGCTGTAAAACAAGGAGCAGCCACTCTCCAGAGGCAAGTCCCAAATCTCAGGCTCCGGCTCAGCCTCCTGATTAACTGGAATGATGAGCACAGGCCAACAGGCCCAGCTTTAGAACTGTTGGTTCAAATTACCCAAAGATCACACAGAAATGATGGGGACAAGAGGGGAAGATAATAGTTTACACCAACATAAATGACCAGGGGTGTTGGGATATTGTTTACACCAGAATGAAATCTCCCTTTGAGTTACAACTGCATTCAAGTAATTCTGAAAGCATAAGTATCTTCCAACATAGTTTAAGAATGCTTTTGATGCAACATCCTGCTTTGGTGTCATGTTAATTATTTTAAAAGAACAGCAATTTCATTCCCCTTCCAACTTACAGATCACTTAAATGATCTTTTCAATACTAACTTCAAAATGAAGATTTTGACATTTTTCATTTAATATTACAATATTTTGCAATTTGGGCCATCATGTATCTAACATTCTTTCATCAAAACCATAACCAAACATTTAACTAGAAAAGATATTACAGAGCTGAGTGCAGTACTCATGCCTATGTAATTCCTGCACTCAGGAAACTGGGACAGGGGGATCAACAGGAGTTCAAGAACAGCTTGGATTACACTGTTGAGACCATATCTCAAAACAAAAATTAAACAAAAAATATATTAGACTTTAAGAAACAATCTAGATAAAGAGAGTAAGATGATAAAGTATAAAAAAAGAAAACCCAAAGATGATTAGAAATATTTTAAACTGTTAGTAAACCTTTTATACCTTTTAAATTTTGGTTCTCGGCCAAAACCGTAAAAGCTACAAATGGTATTTTTCCTTCAACATGGAAATGAACTAATTTAACTTGGAAAACCAAGAATCTTTATACATAACTAGATCAAACAAAGAAATTCATAGCTGTTAGAGACATTGCTGGCTGGTCAGAGGTCACAGCCTCCCCATGGCCTAGCAGCTTTACGTCAATAACTCGGCGGTAACATTGAGTTCCCTCCCTCCAGCAGAACTTCTTACCTCTACCTACCGCTATCTGGAGAATGTTCCTGTGCCTGGAGGACCGACCCTTTCTAAAAGCTGTCTCTAACCAGATGCCTGATTCATCTTTAGCTTGGCCCTGGGCACAGATCCCTGCTAAAAAGACTTGTGCTAGTGGCTCTGTTATAGGACCCTACTGCCACATAAGCCCTGTGATAGAAGCATGCCACTTACTACAAACTAGGGTTTGTCCCCTGGCTCCCCAATTCTATATATTCCTTATACTCTGGAATAAAGTTGAGCTGATTCAACGAAATCTGTCTCCTAGAGGGCTGTCTTTGGCTGCTCATGGGCCACCAAAGCTTTCTGCTGCCCTATCTGCCTCTTTCCCCTCTACACCTGGTGGCTAATGAGTGGAGGGGGAAAGACGGATGCCCTAACTTTACAAAAAACTTTGGGTGACTGTCCAGTCAGCGAGATGCCTCTGTCAATTCTGGAATTTATTATCCTTCTGAGGTCTTTGATAGAGTTGAAGACAGATAGTTATGATTATGGTTTTCCTTAGTTATGATAAAAGATAAGTTACACATAAAACTTTAGACTTGCAAAGAAAGATACGATGGGTGATAAAATATTTTCTTTAAATTTTGCCAAATGTTAATGGACTAAATATTATTGTTAACTCTAGTTCTTACTTGATAACTGTTTTGTTATATATAATTTTACTATGTTAAAGTTAAAACTTTTCTTTTTATTTAGACAGAAAAGAGGAGATGATGGGGGATGTTCTTTTGTATACATGTTTCTCTTATTGGTTGATAAATAAGACACTGATTGGCCAATAGACAGATAGAAAGTACAGGTGGGGCTACCAGACAAGGAGAATTCTGGGGAGAGGAAGGCATAGAGGAACCACCAGAGAGAAGCCATGTAGCTGCTGAAGGAATAACAGGTTTGGACATAAGACCACATGGAAATACTTAGATTAATAAAAATGGGTTAATAATTAAAAGACAGCTAGCCAATAAGCCTGAGCCACAGGCCAAACAGTTTATAATTAATGTGTCCCTGTGTGTTTATTTGGGGCTAAACAGCTATGGGACCAGGTGAAATAGAAACTCTGTCTACAGACCCCTACACATAGCAGCTTGAAATCTAGACTTAGCAGAGATGTCAGTGGGGTGAGATGGATGGGGACATGTCACAAGTATCATCTCCACTCCTCAGAACACATGGCTGGGAGATGCAAGTCATCTTCCTTAGTGTACAAGATCTGTCTGTCTCCTCTTCGAAATGGACCCTAATTCCTCATGGGCATTTGTTGTTAAGCAGGTTACAAGGCTGCCCTGAGTGGATAGTCTATTTTCAAATCTAACAACTAGTTGTGATTAAAAAACTAAACTCATACCAAAAGTAGAAGAAATGTCACAACTATTATTGCAAAGTGCCCTTAAACCAAAACAAAGCATTTTCCCTTCCTCACTCTTTCCTCTCCTCATGCTGGATACAATATGGTTGTGATGGCTGGAGCTGGAATGGCCACTTTAAACCATGTGGTAGTCTTATATGGAAAATGGCCTGGCCATAGCCAGAAAAAAATAAGAGAGATGAAGAACTATGATGCAACAAAGTAAATACAATCTTCATACTTGGCAGAGGACTTAAGGTTGACTATTGTTCAAAATCCAACCTTCCTTTACCGTGTATCTGGACTCCTCAGAAGCACTCTCCCTAGAGGGAGGCTGCCAAATAGACATTTCTAAAACAGTAGTAGAGAGTCAACTCTGCAGCCTTCACTCTGTGTAAGTACTTACTCTCTCTTTAAAGCTATTGTGTAGTTGGTCTTCAGCAAAGATATGGAACTGCAGCGGCTTGATGCTGAAAATGAGAGCTGACTTCAGCATGGTCACAGTTTCTTCCAGTCGTTCACCACAGGCAACAACAGCAAGGTGCATCTTCTCAGTGGGCTGTGTTTTCAGGCTATACCTAACAGCAAAGAAGCACATTTCCCACAATTACATATTATTTACTACTAAATGCTATTTTTGCCATGTTTAAAAACAGAAGTTTGCAACTTTTTCTTAAATGCAAAAGAAGTATCAAGCCACAAAATATTAGAATGCTGACTCAATCATCCAATCATGTATGCCTATCCTCTTAACCAGTTTTCCACAGCAACACACATAACTAACTTCACTCACCACTCACAGGGGGTGTCAAGAAAGGAAGCCAAAGTAATCTGAAGGCCTTCCACTCAAATATTTTAAAACTATAGTTTTTCACTGTAAGTTCTTTCTATTCCATTTAAAACCTCTTCACATGCCTCCTCCAACCCACAATTAGACCACTATGAAGCAAATCAGCCACAATTTCATCCATAAATATTTCAATATTACCTCCTGTCTTAAGCTAGGCTGATCACAGATATTGGTTCGTGTAACATTTTTCAGTGGCACAAATTCAGTTCCACTTACCAAGTACTTACCAAGATGTGTAAACAATTTCTGAAAGGACCTTGCACACACTGATATGTCTTCTCGGAAGGAAAGATCTCCTCAGTTCCCCTTCCTGCCTAGGCAGGAACTCACTCCTAACAGAGAAGTGGTGTTCTGGCTGGGGAGCCCTTTCCTCCCTCTGGGATGGACATAACTTCTCAAAGCTTACACACACACACACACACACAGAGGACAGATCTGGTGCCTTCTCCCCATCTGTTCCCTTAATTCCTTGCACTCCTATCTGTTAAGCCCTTCATTTGTTAACATGGGAACTATGTGGGTACCACTTAGTACCACTATGACAAGGAAACATTGCTCATTTCAAAATAGCAGAAGCCATAGAACACAGCAAAGGCAATTAAAGGCACACAATTCTAGAGAATTCTATCTCATCTTCCTACTAACTGCATTCAGATCCTACTTCTCACAGTGGTTTTTAAAAGTCTTCGTTGGAACACCAGCCGGGAACTAGGGAGCTGGGTCCATGGTTAAGAGCACATGTTGCTCTTGCAGAGAACCAAGCAGATGCTAGAGCTGGCAATCTCCTTCCTTAACCTCTCAAGCACTTAGGGGCAGAGGCTTGTGTCACCAACCAAGCTAAGATTTTATCTTTATTTTAGTATTTTTAACAGGCCACCCAGGATGTCTTGTTTCCTACATGGTCTCCACTGTCACTGTCCACAAGGTGGCTCACAACCATCTTTAACTCCAATGCCTGGGGACCTGATAGCCTGTTCCGACTTCAACAGACACCAGGCATGCATGTGGTACACAAGCATATATGCAGGCAATAGACTCATACACATAAAATAAGTCTAAGAAAATTAAAACATCACAACCAAGCAAGGTGGTGTAAGCCTATAATTTCAGCCCTCAGAAGACAGAGGCAAGAGGATCCAGCCTGGCTCAATAACATCTCAGAAAAACAAAAGCACAATTTGAGAATCTTCACTAGGTTCAGGTTGCTTAACTGGTCAACAAGTAGAGTACAACACAAAGTCAGAAGTCAAGGGCAGCTATTCACTGACCTGTAAAAGTCACATGTTGTTCTATAACAAAACTCTGCAGACAATGTTAAGAAACACTCTATACCTTACGAGAAAAGAAAAGTGTTCCTCAAGGGAAAAAAAAAAAAATCTGCCTAAAAACCTCAAGGATCAGTCCTGACTATAACACCAGGACTTGGGATGGAAACAGATGGATCAGGAGTCCAGAGTCACTCTTAGTTGTATAGAAAGTTTGAGGCCAGCCTAGGCTCTGTGAGATCCTGACTGAAAAACAACTAACAAAGCAAAAGTAAAAAGTCAATTCAATCCCCCAAGCATGTTAGTAAGGCCAGCCTAGCCGTGCATCTGCTAGTTCTACTATGACATGCTCTCCCTCCCACAGCATAGTGCAGGCTCCAATACCCAAGCTGACAAGATGAAACATATGCACTGAAGACATCTCTACCCACCACCTGATCCCTCAACACCAAGGACACAAAGAACAACTGCAGAGGGTTCCAAGAAATCCAAAGTAAGCTATTAAGATTGCAGAAATTGGTGACGAAAGCCTCCTAAGCATTCATGGGGAAACAGCCATTCCAGTAATTCTGGCCTGAATGAATGTTAGGCTCTTCATCACAGTCTGTTAAAACGTGCTTTACCTTAACTAAAATCCCTGCAGAGATAGGAAATTTTACCCAAAGAGAATTTTGAAATCACATCTACTTTCCCACATGACAAGAAGAAATCTTTAGATAAGTCAAAACACACCAGTGGGCTCTTAAAATTGAGTAAAGCATAACTTAAGTGGGAAGCACAGCACTGGCTGCCTGTGACGAGAAGGACACCTCACAGAATGTCCTCAAGTGAGAGCTAGGCCCAGCAGGATCCCTCAGATTTCTCACAAAGGGCAACAGTCTAGTCATCCTGAGAGGAGCCCTGGACTACAAAGGTGGAAACTGTGCTGTGGGCTCCCTCTGGCAGGCTTCCTATCCAGCTTTAGTTTTATCAAAGATCCTTCCAACCATCTCGCAAATAATTCTAGGAACAGCTAAAATTATTGTGTCACAAGGTACTGACTAGAAGGCTGTCGGAATTGTAACGGACGGACGGACGGACGGAAGGAAGGAAGGAAGGAAGGAAGGAAGGAAGGAAAAGAGGCCATACATTTGAACTGGAGCAGAGGGCAGATAGGAGCAGTGGTATAGAGGATGGAAATGATACAGGTATATTTTAATTTTTTTTTTGCAACCAGCATGGTCACTGGCAAACAGTGAGAATTTAAATTAACCATAAAGATACTATAAAAACAGATGAGCCTCAAACATTTTTGCTCTTGAAAAGGGCACGGTAGATTGTTCCCACATTCTCCACAACTACTACCTCAGGAGAGCGACTGCCTTACCCCATTCCTACCAATACGATTCTTTCCCTGAAGGCAACAGAAGCACAGGCCCCAGTCCAACACCTTCTTTCTCACACAGTGACTTAAAATGATGTCTTCTTTTACTCCTTCAGGAAGGATGTTCTTATCCTCCTCATCACCACAGACCTCTAGGCTACAGCTAACATAATCTTCCCTTAGCTGTCACATCCCCTATAACGTGTTTTTAGTACACTAGCTTTTTGATTTTATTACATTTTATTTGTTTGGTGCTGGTGTGCACAAACAGTATACACATGGAAGCCTAAGGATCATCTGCAGGAGTCACTTATCTTCCTCCGCTCAGTGGTAGGTTTGGTAGCAAGTGTCGTTACCAGGTGAACCATCTCATCAGTCCCAGTGTTTAAAAATAGTGGGCACTTAATACCTAGTATCAAAGCCCCCACCTATCAACTAGGACACTGACAAATGTGTGTATATACATACATGAATGCACAAACACATACATACAGAATTCGCATGTTATCCATAAATGTCTAGTCAAAACCTTTTATCTTCTTGCCTTATATAAATCTGATCTTTAACTTGACACCGCTTAAGAGTTATCTGAGAGAAGAGCTACCTAGATCAGAATGGAACATGGGCATGTTTGACAAAGCCTGTCTTAATGACTGATGTGGTAGATTCTAGCCCACTGTGGGCAGTAGCATCCTGAGATAGGTGGGCTTGGAATCTATAAGAAGGGGAGCTGAGCAAGCCAGCAAACAGTATTCCTTCATGGTTCCTGCCTTGAGTTCCTCCCCTGACTTGCCTCAGGAATGCACTATGACCTGGAAGTATAAACCAAGCAAACCCTTTCCTCCCAAGCTGCATTTAGTCAGAATATTTTATCATAGCAACAGAAAGCAAACTAGATCATACCTGCTTATCAATTTATTAGAAAAGTTCAATCATAAATTCCCCTAAAATTTACAGTTTAGAAAATTTTAGAGCATCTACATGTAATATGTATTAAAATTAGTAATAACTAAAAGATGAGATTAAAGGAATAGAAAACCCAACCAGAATATCAATTATTTAGTTATATGACATTGAATTTCAGGAAAAGAAACACTATTATGTTTTATTACAATGAAAGGTTTGATTATCTACTATCTAATCTTACCTACTCTGATCTACCAATTAAACATTAAGGGCCTACCTAAGAGCCGCTTCCCAAAAGCAGTTCATTCCACAAACATCAGAGGGCAGCATCCAATAGGGATTCCAGTAACTCAGAGAGAAATCTTTACACCTGACGGTGAGAAGAAATAACAGTCCTGTATGAGTATTTAGACTGGGCACTACCCAAGGAATTTACTGAATAGCACAATAACTTAATGTTCAATTTTACAGCAACAAAACTGCAAATCCAACTGCTAAGGAAAAATGAAGCATTTTTTAAAAAACTGATTTCTTCTTTACTCAAGGCACAGTGTTTTAAATAAAACCTTAAGACCACTAATTAGGTGAGAATATCCTGCAAATGGAAATTTTTCTGGTCAGGAATTCTCTGGATACATTAAAATCTCCTCCGCTCTGATGACATATACAAGACATTAATACATTTTATCTTCTTCTTCAAGGACTATGCACACTATCCTGGAAAGTTCATTCCGCCCACATGTTCTGTTTACCACAAAAGTAAAATGTCAAAAATGCAGGTGTAACAGGAGGAAAAGATCATTAAATACATTCAAATTAATCAACTGAAACTACTCATATGGTATTTCAAGCTGAAAAACAAGACACTGTACTGACTGTCATGGCTGCTTCATCCCTACATTCTCTGTTTCGGTAGAGAAGAGACCTGCAGGCTTTCTTAAGGCTGGAGTTAAAAATGAAAAAATGTCTCATGCTGCAAAAATGTTGTTCACTGTTACTTCCTTCTGATGCTCCCTCACTACCCTGAAGGCCTATGCACCAAGTCACTAACCTAGAACACTCCACTTCTCAGGCCATGGAACTTTGTTCACCATGGAGTCAATTCAAAGTTGCTGTTTTAATTATCAAAAGGTCTAGGAAATTTCAGACTTCCCACAAACTTCTACAATCCATGAAGTAAGGCAGGAGTCTTCAGCCTGAAGGCATCATGACAATTCTTGAAGAGATGCACATGAAACTAATGATGAAATAAGACTCTGGGACCAGGGTCTGACTGGTGAGTTCTTAAATACTGCCTATGAAATTCTATGTGCTATTGCATAAACTACAGTCCTGGGATTTTAAAATCACTAGGAAAAGTATACTGTTCCTTGGTTTTCCTTTGATCAAAGCGTACAAAGTTGTGTACTTTAACTTTTAAAAAGATTAGTCGGGAAAGTAAATGTGTACCCAACAGTAATGTTGGTCTCTTGATTAGAAACTTCATTTGTGCCCTACTAGGGATGATCATTTGTGTATCAAGTATAACACTTCCTATAGGCAGCCAAACTCAGTGGTACCCTAAAAAATAACATACATATACTTCTTTAAAATCCAAGTGCTTGCACATACATTTAAGCCTCAGAACAAACTTTTCAGATAAACACATCTTCAGTGTTATTTTAACACAATTTACAATCAACACCTAGCATGCACCTTTGTTCTTGATGAAAAAAAAATGTGAACTAACCTGATTATTCCATTTCTCCTGTCAAAGTGCACAAAAAGGGTAAAAGGGAAATGAAAATGGAAATCTGGAGTTTTCAATAAAAATTACTTTGTAAAGTTGGGTATACACAATACCATTTTCTGCTGCATCTTTTACTCTATTTTGCACTATTGTGCACTATTTCCCAAATCTGCCTCGTCCTAGGGTCCCTTATTAGAAATGCCGATACAGGTTCTAGCCTCTGCCCAGTTAATCAAGCATCAGCACAGGCCACAGTGGCTGAAAATGTTACCAAGCCTCAAGGCCAAAAGTGAATGAAAACAGTGTCAAGCAAGAGGCAACATGGGACTGCTGTGTGGAGACACAAGCCTAGAAGGAATCCAGAGGCTGAAGCAGGGACTCTTCAGTTCTAGTCTCCACAAAAGAATTCTTCATCAGAAGCACTACTACTGGCTTACCATATATGCATAAGTTATATGGATTGTTCCTTGCACCCATTCATCCCCAAAACAGTTATCAATAAAATTGTTCATAGAGTAAATGCTGTTTATTTACCGTCACAAAAGGAGGAAATCTCTCTCTCTCTCTCTCTCTCTCTCTCTCTCTCTCTCTCTCTGGAAACAGCATCTCATTATGTAGCCCTGGCTGGCCTGGAACTTGTTATCTCAGAGATGCACTTGCCTCGTCTCCAGTGTGCTGGAATTAAAGATGTGTGTTCATGCCCAGCACAATTTAGACTTTTAAGTTTGGATGTTTCAGTGGGTACAGTCACCAAGCACAACTTAAAATTTTTCAAAGTCTAACAAACCAATCATACTGCTAATATTTGTATATCCTTACTACCCATATTTTTAAGCTATCAGCCTGCCAGGCATGGAAGTGCACACCTTTTATCTCAGAATTCGGGAAGCAGAGGCAGGCAATCTCTGAGTTCAAGGGCATCCAGGAAAATATAGTTAAGACCCAACAAAAAATTACCCACAAATGTCAGTAAGAAAAGTTCATATACATGTTGCCAAACATGGAGAAGTTGCTGACACTGCTCAAGCCTAACTACCTTCTAGTAAACACCTATGTAAGCAGAAGAGGCCTCCACAAACTGTGCACACAGTATCCACAAGAGTTTCTAAGCCCAGGGGCTGCTCCTCAGTATCACAACTATGCTACATCCCAAGTCAATAACTTAATAAAGGTGACATAGGCAGGGCCACACACTTGAGAGTCAAATTCAAGACTGTCCTAGGCAGTTAAGCAGTCTAAAGGCTTAAATCTTCTAAATCTTTGAGATACACAAAGGTCTCTGAATTTTGCTGGTGTTGAACTCTGAGATCAGTACAGTAAGGTAATATAAATTCTAGAGGTAGGCAGATTTTATTTTACTTCACCCCAAATCTAGGTACATTCTCACTGTCTTAATCAAAATACTGCCCTTACTTTTAAAGACAACTTTTAAGTCATGTTCTTAGACCTTTGAACCCAAGGATACACACTGTAAGACACCCAAAGTGTTTGAAGAAATCACATGAGCGGGTGCAAGGCAGCAATCCAAGCTGAGCTTCCAACCTGCTGCAGCATTCGCACCCACCAACCTACTGGGTCCTCTTCCAGTCAATGTCGGTCTCAGGGCCACCTTCTACCTGTCAACACCAAGTTCTTTCTCTCCCTGTTTACTCAATAAGTGAAATGATCAAATACACTGGCAAAACACTAGAAAAACTACAGTGAGTAAAACAGGCACAGATCACACTTGTCTCGTGGGGAATGAGAAAATATCATCTTAGCTATTGCAATGTGGGTACCCAATAGTCAGTTCTGCAATTCTCCAATACCACTAACTTATACTCCCACTCCTCTGAGCTACAACAGGAAATCCTTGCTGGACCTGGTCATCACATGAAAGTGACACCCTGAACTCTAATCCCTGTCAGGTAACCTCTAGGTACATGCAGGCTCCCTCCTGTTACTCTAGAGCACAGAGCTAATCCATCCTTTCCTACATCCTTAATTCTTACTCGGTCCTTTGGCAATACTTTTCTAGTAAAATATCAAGTTAAAGCCGGGCCATCTGTTCACATGCACAGATGACTACAAACAATGACAGAAGTATCCTGACTCACTGAACTAATTCAGACTTGTCCTTCGCTAGTCCCTCTGTCAGATCACAACACAACAAGCACTTCACCTGCACTATATTGTTATACTTTTCCCAGGGGCCCTCAAAAGACCACCTTTTAGCTGGGCAGTGGTAGCACACGCCTTTAATCCCAACACTCAGGAGGCAGAGGCAGGAGGATCTCAGTGAGTTCAAGGCCAGCCTGATCTACACAGTGAGTTCCACCACAGGCTCCAAAGCTACACAGAGAAACACTGTTTCAAAGAAAAAAAAAAAAAAAAGACCAAAGACCACCTTTTATCAAACAGCCCTTCTTCCTCCTTAAGCAGAAGCATCTGGTAAGCATCTGGTAAACTATCAAACTGCTATAATTATTCATCCCACACCCTCAACTACATGTAAGTGAACCCCACTCATCTCCCTTGACTTTCCTATCTCTAAAGGGAACCTGTATTACACTGTTCACTGACTTTGGCCTTAACTTACTTACTTTGGAAAAAATAACTTGGTGCTAAAGACTAAACCTAGGACCTTGAGCATGGTAGGCAAGTGCTCTAACCCCTGACTTATATCTCCAGCCCTCTCATTCAACTTCTGTACGAGACTCAGCATATTCAGTGTAAGGAGAGCTTCTTCAGCCTTTACTTTAGGATGAGATGTACAATGCAGAGTCATAAGCACAGGCTTGTAATGTTTAAGAAACTGTTATGTTTATAGTTTGGAGTTGTTACAAAGGCAAGGGAGAGTGCTACAAGCCACAATTCCCTTTAAAGTACAAATTTGGGGTCCAGCAAGATGGCTCTGCAGGTTACTGCTGTTTATGACGACCTGAGTTCAATCTCTGGAACCCACATGGTGGAACAAAAGAATCAACTGCTGCAGGTTGACCTGTGACCTCCACATAGTCACTGCAGTGCACACACAAAACAAGTCTTGAAAAAACAAAAAGCTAATGGCTTGAGCAACCACAGCCCACAACTTCTACTCCTAAAACTCCTAAATACTCAACAGCACTAAAAACACTTATGTACACAGGGAAAATGTATATATATATATATATATATATATATATATATATATGCTTATGGCCAGGGAGTGTGAGAGACAGAGGGAGGAGTAGGTCATTCTAGGTCATACAGTAGCTTGAGGGCCAGGCTTAGCTTTAAGGAGACCCTGCCCTAAAACAATAGCAAAAGTAAATATAAATGGATGGTAATAGCACCATTATTCATAACAGCCAAACAGTAGAAACCCACCCAAGTACGTATCAGCTAATAAACAAAAATGTGTTAGATCCATGAACCCTAAAAATATAACCTAAATGAAAGAGAGCAAGCTCAAAAGTTCACAGTAAAAAGACAAGACTCACTCACTTTTTACTCACAGTAAAAAGACAAATTCACTACTGGGGGCGTAAGGAGACAGTTTTGAGTCTGTAAAGTAAAGTGTTTGAGAAACAAGCATAAAGACTGGATTGAGACCCCTAGCACCCACATGAAAAACCAAGTTTGGCAGTGCTATGGGAAGAGACAGGACGATACCTGGGACTTACTGTCCAGCCAGTCTAGCTCCATCATCAGTGAGAGACCTATTTCAGAAACATGGTGATTA